TTTAATACAACTTTTAATAATCTGGTTTCTCATAGAGAGGCACCGCTTATCATTAAAGACTGGGTCTTTTAAAAAATAAATAAATAAAGACTGGGTCTTCCTATATTGCCCAGTCTGGAAGTGCCCAGCCTATTCATGGGCAGGCCCCACTTTGATCAGCATGGGAGTTTCCCACTGGGGCGAACCCATCCTTCCTTAGGTGGAGGTTTCTATTCCCAGGAGCTCAGAACTGCAGAGCTCAAGCAATCCACCAGCCTCAGCCTCCCAGGTAGCAGGGCTCACTGGCCAAAGACCATTTAGTAAATGCTTACTCTGAATGTGGACAGAGAATTGGACACAACTAAACAGCAACAACAAAAATGGAATCAGGTGCGTGCTAGGAACCGGAGACCCAAGAGTTAGAGTAAATCATACGGTCATGTGTATACAGCCTCAGGGGGAGAGCCAAAGGGGCTTCAGAAGCCATTTGGTTAAAGCCTTTCATTTTTATAAAGAAAGGAAACTGAGGCCCAGAGAAGTTACATTCACCCGGGGGAGGGGCCAGAAAGGCTTCCTCTGGGAGGTGGAATAGGGGTTCTTAGCCTGGAGTCTGTGAACTTGCTTTTAAAAACATTTTGAAAATTGTATTGAAATATAGTTTATTTTCTTTATATTTTGCAGGTTGTCACAAAATCACTCAGAATCTCAAGAGTGAGAAAGGACCTCAGAGACCACTATCACTGGGCCAAGGGTCCATTCTGCCATATTTCTGAGAAGTGGTTGTCCACTTATCAGCTAGGTAGTGTAGTGGATTGAGCACAGAATCTGGACTCGAGACTTGGGTTCAAATCCTGTAGGTGTCTGATTATGTGCAAGTCATTAACCACTCCGTGCCTCAGTTTCCTTATTGGTAAAATGGGGAAAAATAACAATACCTACCTCCCAGGGTTGTTGTGAGGATCAAATGAAATGTGAAAGTGCTGTTATGTAGCTCTAAATCACTTTGAGGTACCACATCACACCTATCAGAATGGCCAAGATGACAAAACAAGAAAATGATAAATGTTGGAGAAGATGTAGGAAAATTGGAACACTAATGCATTGTTGGTGGAGTTGTGAAATGATCCAACCATTTTGGAGAGCAATTTGGAACTATGCCCAAGAGGCTATAAAAATGTGCATACCCTTTGACCCAGCAATAGCACTTCTACGGCTATATCCCAAAGAGATCACACAAACGGGAAAAGGACCCACATGCACAAAAATATTTATAGCAGTTCTTTTTGTGGTGGCAAAGAATTGGAAATTGAGAGGATGCCCATCAATGGGGGAATGGCTGAGCAAGTTGTGGTACATGAATGCAATGAAATACTATTGTGCTGTAAGAAATGATAAACAGGCTGACTTCAGAAAAACCTGGAAAGACTTGTATGGTTTCATGCTGAGTGAAGTGTGCAAAACCAGGAGAACGTTGTACGCAATAACAGCCACGTTGTGCAATGACTAATATTGATAAACTTAACCCTTCCCAGCAATACAAGGATCTAAGACATCTCCAAAGGCCTTGGGATGGAAAATGCTATCCACATCCAGAGAAAGAATTATGGAGTTTGAATGCAGATCGAAGCATACTATTTGCTATTTTTTTTCTCTTCTGTTGAGTTTTGTTTCCTCTTTCTGGTGGTTCCTCCTATTGGCTCCAATTCTTACTTACATCATCACTAATGTGAAAATGTGTTTAATAGGAATGTATATGTATAGCCTATATCAGATTGTGTGCTATCTTGGGGAGGGTGGTGGGGAGGAAGGGGGAGAAAAATTTTAAACTCAAAAGCATATGGAAGTGATTATTGATAAATCAAAATAAATTAATAAAAAAAAGAGTGCCATGTAAATGCTATTTATTACTGTTGTTATTTATTGTCATCCAGCTTCTGCTTGGATCCTTTCAGTCACAGCGAACTCATTACCTCTCAAAGCAACCTATTCCACTTGTGGATAGCTCTGTTAGAAGTTTTTCCTTACATCATGTTATATGATAGTAAGGAGGGAATACTTGGAAAATCAAGGTAGAGAGAGCTCAGTTCTAAAATAAATAAATAAACAAAACCCCATGCCATCCAATGATGATGACCAAACTCAGTCCTGAAGAAGAGTTAAGAAAAGCCCATGCCTTTCTCTTTCTGACAAAAGTGGGCACCAGGAGGACATTGCGCTCACCCACAAATGGCACCCGCATCTTGGCTGGTTTTGCCCAAATGACTTTTCCTCCTCTTTTTCTCATTTTTTCCCTTTGTTACAGATTCTTCCAAGGTTGGCTGCAGAACCAGGATGCTTGAAGGGAACAGGCAGTTGGAATGAAGCTAGTGGATTTGTGGAAATCGGGGTCAAGTTACGTTCTGAATAGGGATGGGGCTGGGGAGGGGAGCAGAATATATTTGAAAATGAAAGTGATATAAAACCTAACAATATCAGTAATTTTATTTTAGGTAAAATAGAGAGGCTTGGGTTCCACCCACTGATTCACTGTGTGACTCTGGACAGCTCAGCTAATCTCTTTGAGTTTGGTTTATTTACTCACAGGAGCCAGAGTTAAAAGAGCTCAGAGATCACCTAGTCCAATCAATCCACCGAAAGTCAAAGCGTTTCAGTGCCGCTCTGTGGCAGGCACTGAGGACCCAAGGGCAAACCCCACCCCAGATGCTTCATAGCATTGCCCTGATGACTGTTTGGGGAGGGTGAAGGAAAATGTGGTAGGGCGGGCTTTGAAATCTAAAGCGTCACATAATTGCATCATTAATGTTATTCTCTCAGCGAGATCCATGAAAAGGATGTGGCAACTTTGTACTCCACAACAGGCCAGGTCCCCTGGGGCAGAGGAGTCTACAAAGTGGCTCAAGTGGTGTGGGAAGGAAGGGGGGGGAGGGAGAAAGGGAGGGAGGAGGAAGGGAGGGAGAAAGGGAGCAAAGGGAGGGAGGGAGGAAGAAAAGGAGGGAGGGAGAGAGAAAAGGAGGGAGGGAGGAAGAAAACGGGGGGGGGGAGGAAGGAGAAAGGGCAGGAGGAAGGAAGGGAGGGAGAAAGCAAAGGGAGGGAATAAAGGACAAAAGGAAAGAGGGAGAAAAGGAAGGAAGAAAAAACCCAAGCTACTATGTGCCAGGCACTATGCTAAGTGCTTTACAAACATTATCTCATTTGATCATCACAACAACCCTAGGAGGTGGGTACTATTATTATCCCCTTTTTTACAGCTGAAGGAACTGAGGCACAGTTCACAGAGGTGAGGTGACTTGGCCAGGGTCACACAGCTAGTAAGTGTCTGGGGCCTGACCTGTATTCAGGCCTTCCTGAGGCCAGGCTCGGCACGCTATCCACTGCACCGCCCTGCCGCCTTGGAGAACCAAGAACACAGCCCTGCCTCAGGCTTTGGAGTCTCCCAAGCACAGCCTTATTGCTTTAGCCCCTGTGCCACGGGCCTATGAGTTATGGGGGTGGGAGAATGGAGAGAACTGTGGTGGGGCACAGAGAAAGAAATAATAGTAACAGCTGGTATTTACAGAGAGCTTGAAGGTTTGCTACCTGCTTTACAAATATCTCATTTAATCCTCACAACAACCCTGGCAGGTAAGTGCTATTATTATCCCCATTCTGCAGATAAGGAAACTAAACATGAGGAAAAGAATACCAGGGGGTGAACATGGTTTGTGGGGAAACTGTGCTGAAGCGGAGCATCTGAGAGTAGCTTCTCCAAGGCTGGCTGCAGCAGCCAGGATCCCTAGGAGGAGCAGGCAGTAGGAACGTAGCTGGTGTATTCTCCTAAAAACCAGCCATCTCACTGTGCAGGTTGCAGAAAATTGTACCTGAAGGAATGAGAGATGCCAAGTGAAGCTTTGAGGCAGGGCTGGGCAGAGGAGCCAGGCCTCCTAAGGGGCCCTCGGGCATGTTCCTGCAGTGTATTTATGTATTTTTTCATTGCTCTTCTGGAGACACCTTTAGGGAAGTTGAGGCATGTGTGTCCCTGAGGTGCTACGAGCTGTGTCTGGGCCTAATCTGTCCGTTCCCTAGGACATAATGCCTCCTACCAAGGAAGAGGGACCACAATGGAGTTCAGTCAATGTGGCATCCTTAAGAACAATTCCTCTGAGCCATTCACTGGGCCTAAGGCCATGGCTGCCTTGAAAGCCTCGAGTCAGTCTGTCCATCCCATTTCTCTGCTCCTTAAGTCAATAACCAGAATCACAGAAGTAGAGACGTGGGAGGGAGCTATATGGCCAGTGAGTAGAACCCACGCACAAAAGGAATCCCCGCCATAACAGAGCCAACGAGTGGCTCCTCCTGCATCTGCTCGGCCATCTCTAAGGAGATAGTCAACCAACCCCCTGCTGATGCAGCCCCATCCATTTGGGACAACGCTCTCTGTCAGGAAGTTTTCCCCCTGATATCAAGCCTAAATTGGCCTCTCTACAACTCCCCGCCACCACCAGCACTTCTGGTTCTGCCCTCTGGGGTCAAACTGAACAGGGCGAATCCCTTTTCCACCAAGACTACAAATACCTGAAGCCAGCCCTCACGTCCCATCCCACTCCGCCCCCCCCCAACACTCATATGCTCTTCTCAAGGTTGAACACATCCCACCCCATTCCTCCAACTGCTCCTCATATGACACAGACCCAGTCCTTCCATAAAGAATGCATCTGCTACTGGGAGGCAATTGAAGGATGGGCAGCTGTGTTGGAGGTAGAAGGCACTCCAGGTGGTGGGCAGTGCCCAGTGAGCCAGGCTGCTGGGAAGAAATGTCAGTGGCTCAGGCTCCCAGTAGTCCCCTCCCTGATTCAGAAATGCTCAGATGGTTCAGATTCTCCCACCTCCCCCCAACCCAAGTCCCTGGTCAAATACTTGAGGGAAAGCCCAGCCCCTAACCCACCCACCCCACCCTTCACCTAGTCAGGGCCCCCAGAGATACAACCCTCCCTAGGAGCAAAAGGTGGCATCCCCTATCCCTTAGAGTCCCCGGGATACTCTACCTCTCTCTGCTCACTGCATATCTTACACAACCACAGAGTCCGCTTCTGACTGCTGGACGTCTCAATCCCACATTTGGTGCAGACTTTCTATGAGAGAGAGAAGGAGAGAGAGAGAAGGCGGGAGGGAGAAAGGGGGGAAGAGGGGGAGAGAGAGAGACAGAGAGAGAGACAGAGACACAGAGAGAAAGGAAAAGAGAAAAGATGAGAGAGAAGAGATGGGAGAGGGAGAGGAAAAGGGGGAGAGGGAGAGGGAATGGGGGGGAGAGGGGGAGAGAGAAGAGATAGTGGAAATGTAAATACTTTCTGGGCTCTCACTTAGTCTCATCAGAGAATTGCTTTTGTACCCTGTGGGGTAGGGGTGGGAGGTCTTTGGTTTGCTCATTAATAATACCACCATATAATGCCAACAAGGATCACCATCATTCTGCAGGGCTGTACAGGTCTCTGACTATTGAAGGACTTCCAAATCAATGATCTCAACCACAGAACCATAAGATACAGACAGAGCCAAAAGGGAGCTCAGACATCATCCAAGCCAGGGGTGTCAAAGTCAAATAGAAATGGATCTCTGTGGGCCACATACTGACTTAGAAAACCACAAATTAACATTATTTATGTTGTATTATATTATTATTCATTTACCTTGTTAAGTATTTTCCAATTATATTTTATTTTGGTTGGGCCACTTGGGTCTATTTGACAATTCTGCTCTGGCCCAATCAACTCCTTTTGACAGAGTGGGAAACCATTTAATCAATGAATAAGCATTTATTAAGGGCCTACTATGTATCAGGCATTATGGCATGTACCAGGCATAGTAGATAAAGAGCTAGCCTTGGAGTTAGGAAGGCCTGGATTCAAATCCTGCCTCTGACACATATTGACTTTGACCTTCGGGGTACAGCAGAAGAGTGTTAATTCTAGAGTCAGAGGACACGGGTTCAAATCTTACCTCTGATACTTGCTGCCTGGTTGACTTTGGGCAAGTCACTTCCCTTCCTCATCAGTAAAATGAGGGGATTGCACTAACACTATGGAAGGTTCTAGTTCTCAATCCTGCGGCCTCTCAGTGCCTTCTCAGGCAGCATTCTGAACTCTAAAGTTGTAGAAAGAGTGGTGATCTGCACCGATAGAGGGACTTTCCTCCCTGGGAAATTGTGGGCCCAAAGGATAGCAATGTATCAAGCCCTGTGCTGGGCACTGAGGACACAAAGACAGAAATGAAACAGTCCATGCCCTCACAGAGCTTACATTCTATCTAAAGCAACAGCGTGTACACATCTAAATAAATATAAAAAACATTTACAAAGGGAATAACAAGTGAGGGGGAGGGCCCTAACAGATGAGGGGAAGGGCACTAGGGAAATCCTGGTATGGCCAAAGGTACTTGAGTTGGATTTGGAAGAAAGCCAGGGATTCTGAGGCAGAGAGGAGGAAGGAGCGCTTTCCAGGCACAGGGGACAGGCTATGCAAAGACCTGGAGGAGGCAGATGGAATGTCACGTACAGGCAACGGTAAACAGGTCAGTTTGGCTGGAAAGTAGAGTTTGTGAAAAAGTATGATATGTAATAAGCCTGTAAAGGTGGTCTGGAACCAGACTGCAAATGATTTTAAGGGCCCAAAGTCATCCAGTCTGACCCCCCCCCCCCATTTTACAGAGAAGAAAACTGAGGCCCAGAGAGGCAAAACCTGTTGGCCAAGGTCACACAAGTACTAAGTGGCAGGGCTGGGATTTGAACCCAGGTCCTCAGACTATACACACACACACACACACACACACACACACACACACACACACACCCCAGAGTCCGGATCCAAATCCTTCCCCTACTTGGTGCCTCTCCTTAGGCAGGACAAGAATTATAACGCCCACTGCACAGGAAGGCTAAGTTCCACACATAGAACAAGTGAGGAAGCTGAGATTTGAACCCAGGACTTCTGCCTCTAAGGCTAGGGCTTATTTGGCTACCCTACCCTAGCCTGAGCATGAACTGGGAGTAGGAGGTATAGTTAGCTTGCAATGTCTACTAGGCTCCTTTCCCCTTCAGTAAAGTGGCTTAATTTCATGCTGATTTTTTTGCCAAAAAAGAAAGAAAAAAGCTCCCCACCCCGCCCCACCCCCATCCCCAGGGACCATCCTACAGGTTCAGCTGTCTGCTGTGCACTGAGCTGCTGAATTCAAGGGAAAAGAGAGAGCCATTTGTTACTGCAATCCTGGCTCCCTGGGGGCACGGGAATCAGTCACTTACCCTGTGAGCGGGTGACAGGCACTGAGAGCTGCCCCCAGGATGAAATGTCCCAGACCCAGATTCCAAGAGCAGGAGGGAGGGCCTGAGTGCAGCCTCTGGTTCTGAGGACTGTGGGAGGGGAGGCAGGGACCTTACTCAGTGCTGGCCAGGCAGGGGCTGCAGGGCTCCGTATTAGATACTGTCTCATGAAAACAGGGACTTGGGGCCAGGTATTGGCCAAGGTGGGGGGAGGGGGAGCAGGAGATGGCTCTGCAAAGGTGGGCGTGGGGAAACACAAACTGCCTTTTCCTACTGGCTGAGAAGAGTCATAACAGAAGAAAATGCACCCATTCAAACGAATGCGATGAAGCTGAAGTGCTCCAGATGTTTTCCCCCTCTGATGCCCAAGTCTACAGTCTGTTAGACTGATGATGAAGAAGAAGCCTGAGATAGTGGACTGCAAGCCTGCCCTAGAGTCTAAAAGGCTTGGATTCCAGTCCTCCCTCACACCCATCCTGGCTATGTGACCCTGGGCAGTGATTTAGCCCGTCAGCGCCCCTGCTGACACTCTAATACAATATTGGGAGAGGAAATTTTTTCGTTGGGACTTCCTTACATGGATGAAATCATAAGTTCAGACCAAAAAAAAAAAAAAAAGAACAAATAAATAAACCAACAAAACAACTCCCCCAAACCTCAGAAAGCTCACTTATGACAGCTGAGGCTAAGTCCTCTTAAACACCTGCAAAGTGCTTCATGCACCTTATCCTTCGAGCTTTACAACATCCCTGTGAGAGAGACATCACAGGTGTAAATAGCCCCATTCTACATATGGGGAAATGAAGGCATAGAGAGAGTTTAAGCTATCTATCCATGACCACATAAATCCAGAAGGCAGAATTCAAACTCAGGTCTCCCAAATCCACATCCCATGCTTTCTCAGCTACCCTACGTGTTCTTCCTTTCTGGAGCTGTATAACCAGTACGGGTCCCCTCCTACCCCTACCCCTTGACCTCCTCTCTAAGGCTGCAGATATATGTACTGCTGCCCACTGGGAGCATCTGATCTTCTTCTATGGGGAGAGCAGGGATTGGCAAGGAAGTGGAGGAAAGGGAAGGAGCCCAGTCAAAGACTAAGATCTCATCTCACCCACGGCTTGGCGTATCAGCAAGGATGAATCCACCGCTGATAGACCAAATGCAGAGGCCAGGCTTTTCTTCTGGATCTTGTAGCTGCTATTATCTGGTTAGTATCTGATTTTGCTCTAAGAACAAAGGGCTGAGCCCACACTGGGGGCAGGGAGCTGGGGCCATCTCTTCTGTGGCATTTCTGTGGCTGGGCACAATGCCGCCGGGGAACAGAAGTCCATGTTAGTGACACCTGACCCTGCAAGCCAGGGTCCCATCCCCACCAAGTGCCACCAGTGCAGGCTGGGAGTCAGATAGTGCGGCCTGTCCAGCTGACCCTCTGCCCTCCCTCCTCCTTCCAGAGGCAGTATGAGGACAGAATCCCAAAGCCCCACCCCAAGGTGATAAGTCTGTCTCTCTCCTTCCTCTCCTCTCTTCCCTTTGCTGTTGTAACCACAAAAGAGGATCCAAGAAAAACAGAATGTCTGGGATGGAAGAGACCAGTCTGACCTCTTCATTTTACATTTAGGGAAACTGAGGCCTGTAGAGAGGAAGTAACTTGATCAAGGTCACACAGCAAGTCAGTGGGTGAACTGGAACTAGACCCTGGGTCTCCTTACTCTCACTGCAGTACCGTTTTTATGACATTTTTTGAAATGCACTAAACCACAGAGACAAAGGTTTCTGGAGTATGTGAAGGTTCATAGATTTAGAGGCAGCTAGGCGAAACAGTGGATTAAGCACCAGAAGTGAAGTCAGAAAGACCTGAGTTCAAATCTGGCCTCAGACTCTCCCTGGTTGTGTGACCCTGGGCAAGTCACTTAACCTCTGCCTCAGTTTCCTTAACTGTAAAATAAGGATAATAAAAGCACCTACCTTGCAGGGTTGTCGTGGGGAACAAATGAAATGATATTTGTAAAGCATTTAGCATTTGGCCAGTGCCTGGCATACAGCAGGTGCTGAATAAATGCTTCTTTCCTTCTTTCCTTCCTTCCTTCCTTCCTTTCTTCCTTCCTTCCTTCCCAGAAGGGATTTTAGAGGACACTGAGTTCAATGCCTTCATTTTCTAAATGAGGAAACTGAGGCTCAGGGAGGTTGACTTGCTGAAGGCTCCTGGTGGTAAGTGGCAAAGGCAGGACTTTAGGAGTTGGGGACTAAATCCCCAACACTGTCACAAGCTTTATCACTCCCTTGTTCACAAGCTGTCTGTGGCTAAGTTCCAACAGAGGACTAAGTTCCAACACTTTGGCCTCACATTCAAATCCTGCCTTAGAGCGTGGGCCCAGTGATGTGTGTGTGTGTTTACCTGTCTGTCTGCCTGTCTGTCATCCAGGTACCAGCCTATAGGAGCTCAGGAGGACTCATCAGTAGGTGGGCCACAGGAAGACAAATTATTCAGTCATGAAAACTTTCAAGGACGATCTGCTCAGTCACAAAGGGGGTGGTGATCTGCATCTTTGAAGGAAATGTCCATACCTATGAATTCACAGGCCTCAACTTTCTCATCTGTGAAATGAAAGCGTGGGCTTCTGAAGTTCTAAGATGCTCCCTCCCTTACATTTCATATATCTTGTAAATGTACAGTTATTTTTATGTTGTCTCCCCCACTAGCAATAATAATAATAATAATAATAAGCAATAATAATAATTAAAGTACTTTAATTAAAGTACTTTGAGGTTGTAAAGTGCTTTACAAATATTATTTCATTTGATTCTTACAATTACCCTGGG